ATAAGTTAGCAAATTGGATAGAAGAGTGGCTGGATGGAAGACAGCAGAGGGTTGATACAAATAAAAGTTCAGTCAAACTGGATTAATGTCAAAAGTGGGGTACCTTAGGGCTTAGTCTTAGGACCTTTGCGATTTACATCAATGACATAAATCACGGGTCTCCAAAGTATGGCTCGTGGGCTGGATGTGGCCCGTGACTTCGATTTATCCAGCCCACCAACAGTTTGTTAATGTAATAATATAATTTTTTAATATTTTATAAAACCAAAAAATAAAATGTAATTGAGCAAAAAGCCAATTTGATCATGTATGCATCCCTACTTAATTTTACCATGATCCCTCTGGCCCACAAAACCTAAAAAGATCTATCTCCTGGCCCTTGTCCAAGAAGGTTTGGAGAACCCTGACATAGACGAAGGAATAGTCAAGAAATTACTTAAATTTGCAGATATTAAGGTCTTGGGTGTTGCTAACTGTGAAGAGGATGTTACTGATTTACAAAAGAATTTATATCATTTAGTGAGTTGGGCAAATATATGGCAGATGGGTTTTAATTATAATAAATGCATGTGGGTTATCATAATTTCAATTATAAGTATAATTTGGATGGGAATAACCTTAACAATGTTATGAAAGAAAAGGATCTTGGTGTAATAGTTGATGAATCTCTTAAGCCATCCAAGCAATATACTGTTGCTAGTGGTAGGACAAATAGGATTTTAGGTTGTATCTACAGAAATATTGAATACAAGTCTAAAGAGGTTGTAATTTCATTGTGTAGGTCACTGTTTAGGGCACATTTGGAGTATTGTGTTGAGTCTTGGACTGCTTACCTTAGGAAGGACATTCAATTGTTGGAAAAAGTTCAGAAGAGGGTAACTAGAATAGTGCCTGGGATAGAGGGGTTGTCATATGAGGAGAAGCTGAAATCTCTCAAATTGTTTTCTCTAAAAATAAAAGAAGAAGAGTTAGGGGGGGGGGTATGATTGAGGTGTTTAAGATTGTAAAGGGAGTTAATGGTGTTGATGCATTATCTTTTTTTATATTTTAACAGTGAGAATAGTAGGACTAGGGGAC